TTGAAGTATATTGTGTTATTTCAGCGGCTTTCTTGTTCCAAATATTCACGCATCCATTTACGTCCACACCGAATATAGGGGCGTTAGCTGAGTCGATTAATCTCGTGTATTCTTGTTCCTGGGCAATGCGATCAGTTATATCTTGACCAATTCCTACAACACCAACGATCTGTCCGTGCTGGTCAAATCGAGCCGTAGCGTTCAATAAAATGTTTACTGCCCGGTTTGTTTTGGTAATTAGTGAGATCTCAAAACTGGCTGTTTCGTTGCCTTTGAGAGCCCTTGACATTATTTCATGCACAATTCCTTGGTGCTCAGGAGAAATAAATGTCTCCACATACTTCTTTCCTACAACTTCATCATACGTAAAATTTGTGATCTGCTGGGCTTTGCGATTGAATATATTAATGCACATATTGGCATCCACTCCAAAGATAGGGGCATTTGCTGAATCAATCAAACGCGTATACTCTTGCTCTTGGGCGATGCGCTCCGTTATATCCTGACCAATACCGACCATCCCCATGACTTCTCCACGCTCATTGTAGCGTGGTGTCGCATTCAATAGAATCTCTACACGCCTTCCCGCCTTGGTGATTAACGGAAATTCAAAATTTGCAGTCTCAAAGCCCTCAAATGCCTTTTCGAGAACACTACGCACGGGGATTTTGTACTCGTTTAATATGAACTCAGCAACCAAGTCTTTGCCCAGCACATCCTCATTCGTATACTGCATGATGTCAGCAGCCTTACGATTCCAAATATTTACTCGGCCGTTTACATCTACACCAAAAATTGGTGCGTTGGCTGTGTCTATCAAGCGGCTGTACTCTTGCTCCTGAGCGATACGCTCCGTGATATCCTGACCTATACCAACCATGCCCATGACCTCTCCGCGTTCATTGTATCGAGGAGTGGCATTCAGCAAGATTTCTACGCGACGTCCCGCCTTCGTTATCAGCGGAAATTCAAAGTTGGCTGTCTCAATTCCTTCGAAAGCTTTCTCCAAAACACTCCTGACAGCGACTCGGTACTCTTCAGAAATAAATTGCTCAACCAATTTTTTGCCAAGGACATCCTCGTTAGTATACTGCATAATGTGTGCAGCCTTCCGATTCCAGATATTGACTCGACCATCGGTATCAACGCCGAATATTGGAGCATTAGCCGTATCAATCATGCGACTATGCTCCTGCTCTTGAGCAATACGCTCCGTGATATCCTGACCAATACCGACCATACCCATGACCTCCTTTCGCTCATTATATCGAGGAGTAGCATTTAAAAGAATTTCCACACGACGACCAGCCTTCGTAATAAGTGGAAACTCAAAATTTGCAGTCTCGAAGCCCTCAAAAGCCTTCTCAAGAACGCTGCGTACGGGTATTTTGTATTCTTTCGAAATAAATTCAGCAACCAAATCCTTGCCCAGCACATCCTCATTTGAATACTGCATGATATCAGCAGCCTTTCGATTCCAGATATTAACGCGACCATTTATATCTACGCCAAAGATTGGAGCATTTGCTGTATCGATCAGACGCATGTATTCTTGCTCTTGAGCAGTGCGATCAGTGATATCTTGGCCGATACCGATCATGCCGATGACAGCGCCGTGCTCATTGTAACGTGGCGTGGCGTTCAGCAAAATTTCCACTCGACGACCAGCCTTCGTTATAAGAGGGAACTCAAAATTTGCCGTCTCAACGCCGTTTAGTGCCTCAGACAATACATTATTCACAGCCTCTTGGTAATCCTTTGTGATGTACTTTTCCACCAATTTTTCGCCCATCACAGCATCTGTTGTATACTGCATAATCTCTGCAGCCTTCTTGTTCCAGATATTGACCCGCCCTTCTGAATCAACTCCAAAAATAGGAGCATTGGCTGTATCGATCAAACGAATATACTCCTGTTCCTGGGCAATGCGCTCCGTAATATCTTGACCGATACCAGTCACACCAAATATCTGCCCAACTTCATCGTACCGAGGCGTCGCATTGAGTAAAATTTCAACTCTTCTTCCGGCTTTCGTGATGAGAGGAAAGTCAAAGTTGCCAGTAGGTTGCCCGTCAAGAGCCTTTCGCAAGTTAAGACTTACCTCGTCGCGATAATCTTCAGCAACAAAACACTTGACCAGGTCGTGTCCCATCACTTCATCCGACGAAAATTGCGTAATCTCCGCAACCTTGAGATTCCAAATGTTCACAAGACCGTCACGGTCTACTCCAAATATTGGAGCATTGGCTGAATGGATCATTCGGTTCTTTTCTTTCTCCTGCGCCATCCTCACGGTGATATCCTGGCCGATTCCTACCATGCCCATAACCTTGCCCTGCTCATTGTATCTCGGAGTGGCGTTTAACAAAATCTCAACACGACGTCCAGCCTTCGTAATCAATGGAAACTCGAAATTTGCAGTCTCCACATCTCCAAATGCCTTTTCTAATACGCTACGTACGGGTATCTTGTACTCTTCTGAAATAAATTCCGCTACTAAGTCCTTACCTAGGACTTCAGCATTCGTGTACTGCGTTATCTCGGCTGCTTTTCTGTTCCAAATATTCACGCGCCCATTAAT